CGCACGGAGGAAGAAACAAAAAAGGCAGCATCTTGTGATTTCTTTCTTCTCTTAGGCAGAGCACTGAACCAACATAGGAAGTCGTAGTATGTGATTCATTTTTCGGTAAAACCAACGCCTGAGTGAAATTAGAAGGATGACTATTTATTAATTTCATCGTGCAATTAGGCCAATTACGAAATTAGTCAAATAATTAATGAGGTTCACTAGTTATTTTCTTTTCTCTTTTGCAACAGATCGTAGATAGTAGGATTCATGCAAGGAAAGAATTAAGAGTAATTAATTTTGAGTATCAAATCCAATTTGTTGTCAAACATGAGAAATTGCCAATTTGAACAGTGGACCGGTTTCCATATTCACAACAAATCGCCCACTTGGAGACTGGTACACTGACTGCGTCACTATTTTCTTCAAACGTGAATCCTCCACCTCTGCAACTTAATGTCTTCAAGCTAGAAGATCAACTGAAGTTCCGCACAATTTCAGTTTCTCAAGAGTAACACTCTTAGTCGACATATCAGCGTTAACATAGTCTCGTACATCCAAGCTCTTTCCTGGGTTACTCATATTTCCACTTACAACTCCCACTGCATGGACAATATTTTACCTCTATTGAAAGCCTTTTCAACAAGTCCAGCATTGTACTTCTTACTGTCATCAAACTTATTCTTTACCCGGTACACCCACTTGTTGTGCAATGTCTTCTTCCATGGTAGAAGTTTTGTCAGCTCCCAAGTCTAATTTCCTAGCAGGGAATCTATCTCCTCCTTCATGGTCAGCTCTCACTTTCTTGAATTTTCATCTTGCAAAATTTATTTATAGCTCTGACTCATGTGACCAAGTCTGCAATGCCGCAGATCTATCGTGCTCTCTGTAATTGTAGTGGTAACAGTGTTGAGTAAACTTGTAGTCATATATATTATATCAATTTTGTTACCTCGAGCCAATACTAATGCTCATTTGGTAACCTTCCAGGTGCTATCTGAGAACACTACTGAATGACCGCCGTCATTGAGCTGCCCAACAGAAATAAGATTTTTCTTCAATTTAGCAATGTGTTTGACCTTTTAGAAAGTAAATTTGCTCTTATTAAGGAGAGCAATATCAACGTCTCTCATCTCCACCAGGCTCAGAGCTTTTCCATTAATCAAATATATCTTCCTAAAGTCATCTACAACATAGTTTCACATTAACTCTCAATGGGAAGATGTATGGAAGGAAGCTCCTGAATCAAGTATCCAGTCATCAACATAATTGTGAACTGTCAGCAGTAGCACATAATGTACTTCTTCAGATACAACATTAGCGCTATCATTCTCCTTCTTCTTGGGATTATAGCAGTTCCTTTTTTATGTGGCCTGTTTTGCATAATTCCAACAGGTTGCATGCCGACCAGACTTTGATTTTGAGCTTCCTCTGTTTGAGTTTTTGTCGTATGATCTCCCACTGGAATCAACATGCAATGTCTAACCCGAACCTGAGGTCTTGCTAGAATATTTTTTGCGCACCACCTCAGTCAAAATCAAATCACATATATCATCATATTTCAGTTTAGATTTATTTGCAGAATTGTTAAATGACATCCTCATGGCTTCCCAATTATTTGACAATGCAACCAACAATATAAGCGCACGTATCTCATCGTCAAAATCAATTTTCACAGACGACAATTGATTTTTGATAGTATTGAAATCATTTAGATGCTGACGGCATACACCTTCCGTCATCTTCAAATTGAATAATTTTTTCATCAAATGCACATTGTTATTCGTCAAAGACTTTTCATACATACCTCATAAAGCTACCAAAAGATTTGCAGTAGTCATCTCCTTGATGACATTATGAACAACCGATCTTGACAAGGTTAATCGTATAACCCTGAGAACCTATCGATTTAATAGATGTCATACCGACTCGTCCATCTTCTCTTGTTGTTTTCCCAGTAAAAGAAGATAAAGTTTCCTTCCATAGAGGTAGCCCTCTATCTGCATTATCCAGTAACCAAAATGTCATTAAATTTCTCGATCCCCGATGCCATAACATCATCTCCGAGCATCGTTCTTCCTTAGATACGAACTAAGGTTTTGATACCAATTGTTGTGAAAAACGATTGCAATAATATGAAAAAAGAAACGAGAAAAATCGCAAACAGAAAATATGGTGGAATACACAGATTTACGTGGTTCAGCAAATTTCTTACATCCACGGAGTTCCAGAAGTTTTTATTCGCTTGAGGATTACACCCGATGACCCGTCGATCATCTCAACAATTACATGAAAAGATATCTCTCTTCCTCTCTCTCTCTCCTCCCTTCTCTTATACTTGCAAGCCACACGGAGGAAAAGAAGAAAAAGACAACATCTTGTGATTTCTTTCTTCCCTTAGGTAGAGCACCGAACTAACATAGGAAACTGTAACATGTGATTCATTTCCCTGTAAAACCAATGCCCGAGAGAGATTACAATGGGAGTTGTAGCATGTTTATTTATTAATTTCATCATGTTATTAGACCCATTTAGGAATTAATCAAATAATTAATGAATCTCATTAACTATTTCATTTTCTCTTATGTAGCAAATCATAGAAAGCGGGATTCATGCAAGAAAGCTGTAGAAAATTTGGAGAAGAAATTCAGAGCAATTAATTTACAACTAATTTCGAGTATCAAATCTAATTTGCTGTCAAACATGAGAAACGACCAATTGGAACAGTGGACCTGTTTCCACATTCGCCACAGATGTAAAGCTAGGAAGAGTGCTTCCTGCAAAAATGAAGATGTGATGTTACCTTCATGTTTCAGGTAAGATTGAAGTCGTAGGAGGAGAAAGATGGGAGTTTAGGGTCTCCATGCATCACTGGTATCACAGTGTTCAGTCTCGAAGGCGATGGTTTTGGGCAAAACCTAGAGGGGTAGGAGCATGAGATAAGATTTTGAGTTGAGAGTGGGATAAAATTTTACATATGAGTGCGAACACAGTTCTGTTCCGGACTCACTTAACAGTGAGTATCGAACATGATAAAGAAAGAGAAAAAAAACTAAAAAAATTACAAGAGGAGGAACTGATGAAAAATATACTACTCCCTCATGCCAAATTATGGGAAAAAAATAAAACAAGTATTATTACATTTTATTATTATTTTAAGCACATGTTATAGAGCACTTTATGATCCTATATATAGCTAAAGTTTCAAGGAGGGCAACACAATTATAACATAGGTTGCAAATATGACATTGTTAAGTGAAATTGAAAATATACACATCAACCATGTAAATACAACAACTACAAGGCTTCAATTATAAATCTCTAATACATTATTCTTACCACATAGATAGCACATAGATAGCACATAGTTTTAATTCAAGCACTTTTTTTATTAATACATATCCTAAAATTATCCATCTAATACTTAAAAATTATATATATATATATATATATATATATATATATATATATATATATATATATATATATATATATATACTGTATGACTCTTAACCTCTTAAATCATATAAAAATATTATTAACACTAATTTAATTAAGATAAAAATTAAATTTATTTTCAAGCATATACTTCAATGAATTTTAGAAAAGTAAATAACAGGAAAATATAAAAAGAAGGATTGCATGCATACGAATTTTGTGTAAATGCTCTTGAATTGATTCCTATGCTCCTCGAAGCTTCCGCACAAGTTCAGGGACACCGCATGCCGTAGATCACGGTGATCTACAGTCTGGATATATTTCAGTTTTTTTTTTTTAAATTTTGGTGAGGCCCACCGAAATACATCCTGACTGTAGATCACCTGATATTCGGTCAGGATCGAACACCACATGCAGAGATACATGCGGTGTCCGTCCGTATGCAATAATTTTTCCAAGTTCAGGCAGCATCGTCTTCCACTTCTCCTACATTCTCGATCTTGCTCTCCCTCAGATCAATCACCTCATTCCACTGTTACCCAAAACTCCAGTAACCATGAGATCTGCGCAACAGGGAGGGAGCGAGGGACAGAGTCGTCAGTAAGGGAGGAGTGCGAGCTGCGGTGGAGCGAAGCAATCAAACACATGCAACAGTGGGGAGGTAGGGAATGTGAGCGCTGCGGCCGGGAGGGGTGATCCCCAAACGGACCCTCAAGGATATATAGATCACTTTTGCTGAATTCAAATTTCTTTAAAATTGACAGAATTTCAAAGCCACTACTTACTGTAAATTTTGTTGGGAATCTCTTGACAACATCACCGTAGTCCTTCATTATAGGCTGTCCTCGCTATCTACCGTCGGCCACCGCCACAAACCC